GATAGTCCCCATTCTGGGGAGGGACACAGGGGGGACAGTCACCTTTGCTGGGGGACTGTCTCAATTTTGGGGAGAAAACTGTCCCCGTTTTGGGTGGGGGTACCAGGGGACAGTTCCCTTTTGGGGTCACAGTCCCCATTTTGTTGGGGGGACATTGGAGGGACAGTCCCGTTCTGAGGGGGACTGTCCCCGTTTTGGGTTGGGACACTCAGGGGACAGACACAGTCACTGTTTTGGGGGGGACTGTCACTGTTTTGGGGGCAGGACACTGAAGGACAGTCCCCTTTTTTGGGGGGGGGATTGTCCCTGTTTTGGGGCAGGACACTACAGGACAGTCCCCTTTTTTGGGGGGGATTGTCACTGTTTTGGGGGCAGGACACTAAAGGACAGTCCCCTTTTTTGGGGGGAATTGTCACTATTTTGGGGCAGGACACTGAAGGACAGTCCCCTTTTTGGGGTGGGGGATTGTCACTGTTTTGGGGCAGGACACTAAAGGACAGTCCCCTTTTTTTGGGGGGGATTGTCCCCATTTTGGGGGTGACACTCCCCATTTTGGGGGGGACACTCCCCATTTTGGGGGGGACACTCCCCATTTTGGGGTGACACTCCCCATTTTGGGGGGACACTCCCCGTTTTGGGGGTGACACTCCCCATTTTGGGGGTCACCCCCTGCTCACCATAAGCCACGGGGGTCAACTTGAGCACCGTGTGCAGGGGGCACTTGAGGTAGGGCAGCTCATCTGGGGGGGGAAAAATAGGATGAGGCGGGGGCACAGCAGGCCTGGGGTGTCCCCAGAGGGTCCCCAAAATGTCCCCAAAGTGTCCCCAGGGCCTCACCCGCGCTCTTGTCCAGGAAATAGGCCAGCAGGCACCTCATCACGGCCTGGTGACAGATGACCAGGACGTTCTCCTGCCGCTCCAGCTCCATGATCACCGGCTCCAACCGCTGCACCAGGTCCTCGTACGACTGGGGAGGAGCATCAGGGGGGGAGCCCCCGGGGCCTGCAGCCCCCCCCCCGGGGGGGTCCCAGGGTTGTGGGTGGGGGTCCCGGGGGTACCTCTCCCTTGGGGTAACGGTAGCGATACTTGTCCTGGTCGCGCAGCGCCAGTTCCTTGGGGTAGCGCTCCTGGATCTCCTCGTAGGTCATCTCCTCGCACACCCCCTGTGTGGGATTTGGGGGGTCAGGGGGGGTCCGGGCCGCGCCCTGCGCCTCCCCCCTCCCC